TCACTGCTTACAAGCCTTAATCCAATTTTAGAACCACACTACAGTACAGTTTTGTAAGGTAGTGTGGGTTTCTTGCTCTGCTCCTAAAGGAGTTTAAAATTTCAGGCTTGAATCTGTGGGGCGTTATGCCTGCCTCCGTGTCTCGCTCCAGGTGGCTGCATTTTAGATCATTTTTAAGATGAAGATAAGCGATCAGCATTTCAGCATTTCGTCACTTACATATGTGGAAACCGTTCAGACAGCAGGGGGATAGTAGAGGTCTGTTGAGCAATCTTTGCATTTTCAAAACAACAGACAATAAACAAATTTTGACTGATTTTGTAGTGGCCTTTTATCTGCTCTCTTTCTGGCTCCTGTTCATCAGTGAAATCTGCACTTTTTCATCACTTGCCTGTATATATGAGTATAGAAAGATTTGCTTGCTGTTATCATTGCAGGATTACTTAGTATCTGACTGAGGTGCCTCACTATCATTACCTGACTGGAGATTAATAACACAGAGTTTAATATCCTCGTCATTTTCCCTCACTTATCATAACAACAATTATGGCTCCTTGATGACGATACTGTACCAATGCCACTACTAAGAAATAAGAACAGGAGTGTACTGAATACAATGCCATGGTAGAATAAAAAAAAAACATCAGATTGGTTCATGTATAATCTCAGTTGGAGAGCTAAAGTTAGACATTCTGTTTTTAGTGGGATGCAGAAACGTCACGTGAAGGATCCCTGAATATCACTCCAAATCAGCCAGCTCACTGATCAGCTACAATGCAAACCCAACTCCTGCTCCTGCAAGGGGATCCTCAGATTGTAATCCTTGAATGATTTTCATGTGGCAGGCCTAGCTGTCTGATCAAAAAAGGGAGAGAGAGAGAGAGGCAGGGTGGGGGCCATTTTCTACCGCTATTAAAAATGAATCCCAGCTGCTGTTAGTTCACTAGTTCAAGTGCTGCATTCTCTGCTGCTCAAAATGCTAAAACTGCCACCTTATACTGCTGGCAATAATGGGTTATGGTTGCCACAGTAACAAGTGTGAATGCCTATTGTCTCAGTGGCACACATTTGCTGTATCTACCTGAAGTAGAGTTCACTTAAAAGGCAGCAGTGTATATTTATAATGGGTGGTCCATAAATTGAACTGAATCAGCTCCAGTATTCTGTGTATGAAAAGCTAGCCAGCAGGTACAATTAATGTGCTGTTGTTATAATAGTAGCAGATATTTCATACAACTACTGACAACACCACGCTTCGGACTAGAGTGATCCTATATCAGAAATCACTGTCTGCTGACTTTCCAATCTCTACACTTCTGTAATAACATTTTAATTTATTATTTTTAAGAATCTCAGCAACAAATACATATGTAAGTATAGAAATAAAAGGGAAACATTTGTTTTGCCCTTTTTGTTCATGTTGTGGAACATAGAGTACATAACCAAGTCTGGCTTAGTTTCCTTTAACCCAGATCAAACACAATAGTATCATCTCCTCCATCTTCGCCACAGAAACTTCATCAGTCTAAAACAACTAACATCGTATGGTTAAGAATACAGTATATCAAGAAAATGTAGGACTATCAATGTTTCCATAATCATTCTGACAGACAGTGCACTTTAAAAGCAAAATAATACTTTGTGATTTTTTTTCTGATTTTCATGTTATTGCACATTAATAAGCTTAACTGATTAAAATATGTATAAATGTTTGGCAAGCTATGGAGACTTTCAAATACAATATCTTTAATGCGTACTGACTTGGTTGAGATGCCTCCCTACTTAACACACTGCTTGCTAATGAGATTGTTTGGAGCTTGGTTTAATTATGCCACGGATTAGTTCCTGGCATAATTATTGATCCAATTATTGAGCTGAATATAAAGTGTTTCAAAAAATGAAAATGTAGTGTGTTGATGGAAATCATAAGCAATACTGAAAGTTGTTTTTGCTACTGTATTTACTTCAAAGGGGGGTGGGTTATTAATTTTGTATTGTTAATATAATTAATTAAAAGTGGGTGGGTAATTGTTTGCATATTAATAAAATTAATTAAAAGGGGTGGGTTTTGAATGTGAACTGTTAATAAATTAAGAGGGGGTGGGTTGTTGTGTATTGTAAATTTAATTAAAATGATTGGGTTATTCTTTAGGTATTATTCATAGAATTATTTAAAAAGATGTGAGTTATTGTTTGTGTATTGTAAGGCCTCTTCACAGAAATAATTGCTCCTTTTTGTGGTGGGAGTTTTGGCATCTGTCTCTTGCCAAGAGACAACGTTCTTATAATAACTGTGGCGCACAGTGCAGCCTGTAAAGTGAGAGCCTTCGTAGGGGTGATTTTTGTCTCCTCTTTTGAAGCACACATTTCCCACTATTGGTTTATCTTCTTTTTCAGACTGTGTCTAGATCTAAGGTGGGGACTGCTGGCCTGCGTTTGCCTAAACATGCCAATGAAGAACCTACTGAAACTTCTGGTTTCGTCACTGTTTCGTGGTCCTATTTTCACTTTGGAGCAGAGGAAGATGCCCACGACAATAGAATTCTAGGGAACAGTCAACATAGATTTAGAAAATGCCTGCCTAACTTTCATGGAAGCCAATCATAATTGGCTGTGAGGTATAGCCAAGGATAATGATTAAATTTTCAGTAGGCATTTGATAATATTCCTCACAAAAATTCATTTACAGAATCCAGGAGGCAGGTATTCAATGAAATGAATGTAGTTAGATTGACAACTGGTGGGTGCTTTAGAGTGCCACAGGACTCTAATAAAACCAGCGCTCTTCCTGATTTATGTCAATAATCTAGGTTCTGTTAAAGTGAGTAAACAAGTCATGTTTGAAAGTGATATTAAAAATATGCTAGAAGCAGTTAATGATATTTAACAAGATTTAGACTGAACTCAGGACTGGGCAGATGACATTTGATGATGTCAAGTGCAGGGTGTTACATACAGGTTTTTATGTGGTCACTAACTTCTGAAGGGTTTCAGAGAGAGATGCGAATAAGAAGCTGTTTACTCTGAAGACGGTAAGCAGCTTAGCTGTCCAGCTGTTAGCTAAGGCCTGAAGAAGTTCTCTAGCGCTCAAATAAGAGCTTAGGGTTTTGTTTGGTGTTTGGTTTGTAGTGTTTTTTATTTTCCCTCACTGCACTGTTAATAAAAGAGCACTTTTTTTTCAGCTGTGCGTCTCTTATTCTGGACCCACCTATTTTAAACATCCTGTTACAACACGCCCAATAGGATGTCTTTGTGTACTACTCTTCATTTTTAAATAAAGGATTCGGTCTTAAATTTCAGACAGTATGTATCTGAGTAGTGAGTGCATTTAGTTTGTCACAGATGAGGAGTGAAACCTCTGATTGTAGTGATACTTGTGGAGTATCACATTTGTGGAGTGTCATTTCTATCAATGGTCTAGATGCTGCTATAGTTAGTAATACAGGTGATGCCATACCAGGAGGATTTGCAAACACTGGAGAGACAAACCGTTGTAGAGAGCAAATAAAACACAAAAAAACTCAAGAGTGGATACAAACCTGGAAGATGATGTTTAGTGTAAATGAGCACAATATTACCTTCTTATAGAAAAAACAAACAAACTACAAATGGAAGATGGGAAACAGAACTCAAAGATGATACCTTCAAAAAAGACTGAGGTCTTTATATTGTTAGTCATTTACCTCTTCAAGCTAATGTGAGGAAGCCATTAAAAAGGGAAAACAAAACATTAGGATATAAAGTTAAAACTGTAGAATTCAAATCAAGGGATGTTAGGTTTCTGTAGGTCCTCCCACAGTCCAAAACTCTACTAGTAGATATACTGGCTCTGGGAATGTTGGCTCTGGTGTAAGTGTGTGTGTGTGTTTGTGTGTCTGTGGATCTGCCTTGCAATGGATTGGTGTCCCATCCAGGATTTATCCTGCCTTGTGCACACTGCTTTCCAGGATAGGCTCCGGCTCCTCCTGCAACCCTGTACTGAATAAAGTGGTTTAAAAGTGGATGGATGCTTCACCACCGGAATAAGTCCAGAGAAATGTTACCAAATGTATTTTTCTAGGCACAAATGAATGTCTGTCTGACATGCTGCAAGAACTGAATCTTTTTAGTCTAGAAAGATTACAAGAGGACCTGATTCAACTGTTGAAACTCCTCTGTTGCCTGCGCAGTCAACCAAGCTGACCTGTTCAGACCCAAGAGAGAAACATGACCCAGAGCATAAAAATGGAAACTATGTGCAAATGACTGTAAAACCGAGAACACAAGGCACTTTTTTACACAAACAGTGCGGAGACTGGAAATAACTACTTCTCCCACAGCCTGTTGCTATAAAATTATTCCTTATTCCTATAAATGAAATTCAGCACTAACAGGAGGCAGGCTCTTCATTTTCTGTTTTATTTTCTGCACTTATTTTGTACTAGCAAGGGGACAGGTGATCACTAACACAGCTGTCCAGCTTTTTGTCACAATTATAAGGGTCACATTTTGTTCTGTTTATATATTCAACATTTGAGTATTTTTTGGGTTAGATAAAGGTAAATCCGGACTGAGGAAAGTTTATGGTGTGTCCTGCCATGCTGGTACTGACGCGTGAAATGTCTGTGAGGAGTACATCTAAAATCCTTTTTTTCAGATACAGAACAATCACCTGTAGCATGCCTTACATAAACCTAGCTGATATGTTTTTTTTTGTCAGAACGTAACACCTCCACTATGTGTGGCAGTGGGTTGCTTGTTTATGCAGGTAATGGATGATGTAATGGAATATTGCATCATAGCTGTGTAGATACATACAGTAGGTGAAAGTACTTTGGACTTCAAAGTGATAGTGCACTGCTTTTCTAGTGACCTGAAAATTGAGGTTGACATGAGATATTAAACTGAAGGAGATGAGTAGTTTTTTGTCTTACCTTGATACATTCATGCTGGACTGACAAATAAAAAGATGAATACAGACATATACAGGAAGCAAAAAAACCCAACCAAAGCACACATGATAACTTTTTTTTTACTGAATTTTATTTGTGGAAATAACAGCTCCAAAAACTTTACAGAAAAAAATGCTTGGGGTTTGGGGTTTAAAATATCGAAACTCATACAGCTGAGTTCATTAACAGCAGTAAACATTTTCAATGTTGTTAATCTTTCTTATTGAAATAAGCAAAACTTTTAAGAAGCTTATTGGCAGCTGGCAGCTGTCCAAAATGTAGTGTATATTACAGTAACCAATTACAAAGTCTCTTTTTAATGTCAAAATACAGCTGTTCACATTTTAGAAAAATACCAACAGATTTTGGATTGTGCTCTGTAAAAATGCTTACAAATAGTATATAATCTATATATAAATTTTACCAACATGCTTAGTTTACTTTTTTTAAAAACATTCCCAATATTGTCTTTTTAGTCATTACAGGTCTTATCAGTTCTTCGTCAAGACAAAAGGGAGAACAAAAAAAAATCAAAACAAAAAAAGTGCCATACACAGTTGCCAGGAAAGGGGTTAAACATCTGGACATGTCCACAAAAATAGCCATCTCTATAACATTTGCAAATATTACAGTTTTAAGAATTTGGCAGATTTCTACATCTGAAGCACAATTATTTAAAAAACATTTAAGTTGCCACTTTTTCATTTGTTGTGTCTGATCTCTTCTTCATTCCACACAGGTCACACATAGGATTCTGAACATACTTCTGCAAAAAACACCTTTGTGTTACTGGTGTGAAATCCGTAGATTTCAGCCTACACAGCCCTGACCTGTTATACAGATCGATCCAGATTATTGACTTCACAAAGCTGTAGCTTTTATAATAATATCTTGTGGATAAACCATGCAAACTAGTAAAATGTTTACAAATCAATTGCACTAAAAAGTAAAATCCCATTACAATAATTAATAATTAAAAGCATTTTTTCAAGTACTTTGCATTGACCAGTACGCGAAACTACAATGCGTGTATACACACAGAAATATATATAAAAACAAACAAGCATATATATTTCTATATGTAATGCAGGTATAAATATAATCTCGTTTTCAAGCACTTTGCTTTGACCTCTACTTGAAATTACAATGCATGTATATATACATAGGAATATATATATACACATTCACACATATATATTGCTACAGTATATGTATAATATAGATATAATCTCTTGCTTTGAAGTGATATATTCACATACAGTGTTTCAGAAATTAAAATAAAATTATCATGCTGAGCTGGCAACAAAGAAAACAACAGTGACAATGAAATGGCACATTGTTTTAAAACAAGTTTCCAATGATTACAGTGGCCAGACTTTCCACAGTACAAGATTCAGACAAACACTTCATTCCATTTTGAGGCTTGTATTTTCTGAGGTAAACAGTAGAACTGTTTTGAAAAATAACGGGTAAAGGCATCAACCCTGCCATTTCTCCTACCGTACCCAGCAGCTTCACCTGAATGTATTCAACACAAAGTCCAGTGACATTAATTCAGAAAGGGGTTGTGGATCTCCAATCATGCAAACATGCAAACGAGCACAGCACTAATCTGGTGAGATCTCAGGAACAGGTTGCTCATTAATTTGGCTAACTGTTTGCCAGCATTTGACTATTAAAGGTGTCACAATGAAAGCAGAAATGATAGTCATTTGTCAACAAAATCCCATGCATAATAGTCTATGTTACAATACTATGACATCATATATTAATTAGCATTATTCATTAAATAAATAACACAGTTTTGTTAGGCTTTTAAATTCAATCAAGTATTATTCCTATCTATTACAAGAATATAAACTCAAACAAACAAATCTAATATGTTATCCCTTTTGCTTCTCACATACCAGTTTTAAGTAAGTTTTCACCTTCTAGGTAGTAGGACAAACAGGTGACAATTTCTGCAACCGTTAGCGATGATAAAAAAAAAATCTATAGACCCATTGCTTGCAAAGTAACTTCTTAACAAAAAAAAACTTTTGTTGAATTAAGAGGGCTGTTATCGGTGGTTATTACCGTTATGCCAACTAAAAGAAAGAAGGGAAATAACTCTTTGCTGAGCAGCGTCTATTACGTTACACACCAAACAAAAGGCTTCAATTCGTACGAGTCAGAAATAAATAACAATTGGGAAAAAAAACTAACAGTACCATGCACGAGCCTGTAAGAAGTGAATCTCCTAAAACAATGTAGGAGATGTCAGGGAAAGCAGCAGCAGAAGTAGGTAATGGAATAAGACCTGTGAGTGATGCTGCTAAACGCATACGATTTCTTCTAGTGAGGGAAGATTGAACACTGGAAACTGATTCCCCAGCAGCAAAGTCCTCTGAACAAATTCCTCTGGCAGCCGCTTGCACATCTCCTCACTAAAACGTCAGATGGTAAAACAGTAAGGCAGCTGTTAGCTTCCGTCAGCTAAAAGTGCATCTCCGTGCATTTCCAGTTATGTCTCTCTCTGCCAGAACAGATGAAGTAGCCGTGCACTTGAGTGATTAGGCGGGATCAGCAGATTTTTATTTTGTTTTTCCCAACATGGCTGCTTGCTTCAGCTTTCATGGGGACCCAAAAGAGCCACAAATCATCGCCAGGGAGCTCAGCAGCCCCTGCCTCAATGTTCGCGTCTCATCTTTCTCCTGCGTTTCACTCTAAATCCATTCCTCCTTTGCCTGTGTCTGAGTCTGACTGGCGCCATTTTTTTTAAAGGCCGTTGACACGACTGCAGAGAATTAGGGCCTACGCCACTAGTTTTCACGCCTTCACTGAAGGGTCAAAACAGTTAGATGGTTAAGTAAATTATGTTGAATCACATTCAGGCACAGCTTAATATTACAATGAGGGTATTTGGGCTTTTTCTTTTTTTTTTGCAAAACAAAAACAAACAAAAGGTACAAATATGCAGAAAATGTGACTGAGAAGAAAAAACAAGAATGAAAAAGAACATACCCTCTCAATGAACACAAGGACAATGCTTACCTGAGCTATTGTTGCATCAAGTCAGGAAGTGGACGAAAAGAATAGCTAGACCAATGTTCAACAGCATTACAAGGGCGACCAAAATTGAGTTAGGACCCTGCAAAAAACATCAGACAACAGAATGTTAGAAGAAGTGATAATTATGTTCTACAGGACTGTACTTCTGAGAAAATATGTACAGAAAATGACAATATCTTTGCGTTATGGCTTGGAGGAAGACTTCGCTAACAGGCGTTTCAATGCAACATTCAATCGTCTACAAACTTCTGAGAATATTCGACATTATAACTCATGTTACTTTTATCACTGAACACAGAGAAGCTCTTGAATTCGATGCTGGCAATATTTTTGGTGATAGACAAAAAATAAAAGTAACGGCATTTACTGTCTTATATATGACAAACAGTTCCTTTGTTAAATTCTGTATTATTTAAGAATGTGAGAAGCAAAGAAAGCTTACAAATGAGGTGAGGCCATTTGACCCATAAAAGTTGATCTCTTTCCTATCTGATTCATCCATTTTCCGGAAGAATCCAAGGTATTGGCTTCAACGCCATGGCTAGGTAGCTTGTTCCACAATTCTTTGAATAAAAATGTGCCTCCTGTGCTAAGTCTTAACTGCGTCTTATTTGTTTGGTAGTTTACGGGATAAGTACTGGAGCTAAATAAAATTTTTTAGCTGTTTCTTAAAAGTGCCCAGAGTTGGCCATAACTCTTTATGTAAAGAAGTGTTCCCTATTCACCACCCTAAATTCCTAGTTTCCTATTATGATCCAGAGTCCTTGTTTCCCTATTGTGTGTGAAATAGTCTCTGGCATTAACCCTGTCTATACCCCTTAGGGTCCTCCTCTCAATCTCCTTTGCTCTAGATTTAATTGAAGAGGCGCCATAACCTGTGTGTTTTTTCCCCCAAGTCCAGAACTCATAATTGCTGATCTTCTTTGAACTCAATACAAAAGAATGTAGTTCAATTAGGAGATTAAAATGAGAGATTAATAAAAAAAGAGGCCTGAGAGTTCAGAAACATCTTCACAATTCCTTTAACAGACCTGATAATTGATCATCTTTGGCACTAATCCATAATAACCTGCTTATATTAAGTGCTTTAATGGAAGGAAGCTAGCCTCCTAACAACAGCTGTAGTGGACAGCCTCTTTAATTAGAGAGCTCTTTAATTAAAGAGCTCTGCTAAGAGTAATACACCATTACATCATCAGGATCATTTTAGACTTTGTAATAAAGTACGTGTAGTCACCACTTTCTGGAAGTAAGATGCTAATTAGATGTTTTACATGTTACTGATATCAAAACAATGCTGACACCAGGCCAGACGTAAGTAAACAGTAGCTCACATCTTGAAAGAACACCTTTTTAACTGGAAATCTTACTTCACATAGTATTCACAAAATATGAGCTGCATTCATGTGCAGTGCCTGAGCCCTGGGAAATTGATTTTACTGCAATACTTTGAAGCGTTTTATCAAGGATAGCCCAGGTGTGTTACAGCTCATATCTGGGAACTGGCCAGCAGGATCTGTTCCATTATTGCAATTTGCAAGCAGTGTGAGCTTGTAAACTGGTTCCAATACCAAATGGCTCATTCTGGACAGCTGATCCCTGACCTAAAACTCAGGCAGAAGCTTTCCGGGCGCGTTCTTAGATGAAGCAGATAACACAGTTCCTGAACAGAAGACCGGTTGTGATTACCCAGTTGTCCAAATAGTATCTAACACCAAAAGCAGATGGGACAACTCTTTAATCCCCAGTCCTGGTCCTGTGTCTGCAAGTTTTACAGCCGCCCTCCAGCACTGGGACTGGGGATTAGACGGTTGCCTGACTCAGTTTAATTCTATTATAATTAAAACCACATATAATTACAATGGCAGACAGTTACAGTACTTTCACTTACAATAGTCACAACTGGAAATTGAAAACTCTAAATTGAATATCTTTAAATTAACTAAGAAAGCACGTACAGTATGAGTTCACGTAAAGTAGCAGTAATCAATGAAAACAATGAAAATATATCATACAATTTTGCTTTCACACTCGGAAACTTGTTGAATCACTCTGATACTATGGTCAAAACCAGACGGTTTCTGCAGAGATAACCTTATTGGAATTCAAAGCGCAGAAGGCTCTCTATCCCTGTGTAGGTTAGGTGAAAGGCACAGAACTACTCTACCAGTAAGATTCCCCACCATAACTCTTCCAATACAAACATTCCCAAATGTCTAAATTTGTCTAACCAGCTCCTTCTTCTGTTTCTGAGAGAGGTTGGAGTGGATGCCTCACATATCATGAGCTAAAACATCAACAACCATTCTCAAAACAAGAGAAACATGGGAAAGGTTAGAGATGCTACATCATTTCATCACCAGGAGTTAAAGTTTATTGTCTTGTAGGGATCAGCACCTCCCTGTGTGATCAGAGTCAGAGAATTATTAGGCATTAAGATGAAAGTACAGACTGGTTGGATTATTATATGATATATGATATTATTATATTATTATATGATATATGATAATATATACAACTGAAAGATAATTTGAACATGGAAAAGAACACTTAAAAATAAAAAATGCTGGGGGTACATTTAGCACATTACTAGCACATTTCCTCCGCTATGCAAATGCAAAGCTGCAACAGTAGGTATGTAAACGCACAAGCAGATTTTCTCTGGATCTGCAAACCTTCTGGGTTCCTGTTATTAAAAATGATCAAATGCAGTTCAGCTACATTGTGCTGTTGTATTTTGTCATCCACATTCCGTGCGAGATTTTACCCCCTCTTCCATAACTATCAAAGGTCTTCGTACACAATAAAACCTCTTGAGGTCGATCACTTTCAGATATAAGAAAAGAAAGAGGATTAATTAATGTGTGTTCGGATCTGTGCTTAGCACCGACCGAGACTCTGGTAAGAAAAATCCTCCTTCAAAAGCAGACTTACCGATTCGGCCTCTGCGACGTCGCTGGCGGCCTCCATGCTGGCTTTCTTGGTTTCTGCTAGGCTCTTTGGTTTTATAGACTCCTGCCTCTTGGCTTTTGGCTCGGTTTTGCTTTCTTTGGCGGCTGGCTTGGCCTTCGTGGGCTTCGCTGGGGCCGAGCGGCTCTGCTTCGGAGGCGGGGGCATCCTGGCGAGGGTGGACTGGGAGATGGAGGCGTCGGCGTCTTCGGGCTCTTCCGGCGGGATCTTCACCTCCGTCTTCACGTAATATCCATGGTACTGGGAGTGGAGCTGTCCGTTTCCGGAGCTGACTCTGGGATTGTGTGCTGGCTCGGCTTTCTTGGCGGGTTTCGGGGGCGGTGCTTCCTGTCTCATCGAGGTCCGCGACGCCGACTTCCTGATGGCGGTCACTGGGGCGTCGGTCACCGCGGGCGGTTTTTCTTCTTTGCCGGGCTTCCCTCCAGGCCCACTGTTGTGTTGCGGCTGCGGCTGTTTTTTCTTGGTGCCTAGGGGGGAAGGGGGAGGCGTGGGGCCTGGGCTCTCGTGAGGGGTCTCAGGAGGGGTGGTCCCCTTCCGGTAGAAATGGGGACTGTGAGACGGGGATGAATTTTCCTTTATTTTTTCTTCTGGGGCCTCCTTAATCTCCACAGGTTCGTTGAACCTCTGCTTGATATAATCAGGGCCTACAAAGTAAAGAGAGACAGGGGTCTTTAAGTCACGGGGGGAAAGGCCGTTATGATTATGTTTTCCATTAAGGGACAGATATCAGAAATAACATGAGATTCGTACACTGTAATTCACTGTGAAATCCTTAATAAAACACATAGAACGTTTCCGTGCACTACTGAGCCTGCCTTGATCAAAGCAGAAATGAGTATTTCGCTATAGGCCGACACTCTCTCTGTCTCTGCCTGGGATAGGAATGTCGGACGTGGTTCCTGGAGGGCCTAGTGTCTTGATTTGTTGTTTCCTGTTTGTTAACCAGCTCTTGATTCACCTGCACACAGCTTTCAATTTGATACTTAACCTTGTATGAGGCACTTATCAAAATCTAAATACATGATGTCTTCTTATTTAGTTTTATCAGCTGTCGTAGCTGTTTGTTTAAAGAATTCTAGCAAGTGAAACAATGCTACCCCTTTCTAAAATCCTTGCTGGCTGTATCTTCAAATGTCTTTGTTTTGTAAGTAATGTTGCAGTTTAGGTCTAGCTTCTGTTTCCATAGTTATAGTAAAGAAGTAAGACTTGATATGCCAATGATAGAGTCCTGGTTCTCATTTTTGGAAATTGGTTTTACATTGGCAATTTTCCGGTCAGTGAGTACAGCTCCCATCCTTAGTGAAAGTTAAAATATTCCTGCTAGGGTTCTATTCACAGCAAAATTATTTATGCTAACTGTTTGGCTTATATAAACCTCAGTAACGTTGGGGGTGTGCATATTCTTTCCTTTTTTGTGGGATTCTATGAATCATTTCCTAAAATATGATTTATAAAGGGACAGAACCCAGTGAGTCATTAGTTATAAGATGTTCTAGCCCCTGTGGAACCTCAGCGTTATTCTGTAATAAATCATTTAGGCTATATTTTCCTGAAACTGGACTTATTTCTTTGAAGGATTAATTTGTTGAGACTTTATTTTTGAAGTACTGTACAGTATAACCAGCCTATTTCTTCTGACTGAATCAGTCTGTTCTCACATTTCTTAGTACTTCTATAAGACTACATACAGTACATACCCTGTTCAAGTATTATCCTCCCCAAAAAAACAAAGAAAAAAACATTGTTACGTCAAGTATATTCTGACACACTCAAAACTAATCCTCACACTACTGCCTACAGTCCAATGAGTGAATACAAACTCAGGATGGCAAGAAGTTTGCTTTGAGAGGTTCACAGGAGCGACACCAACAAAATGAAAGCAAAGGAGAGTATGAAATGAAGGGCACTACAAAACACCTGGATTTGTACACAGCAGACAGAACAGTAAATCCCGTAACTCATTCTAAGTTCATTTATCTCTATAAATAGGAATTCATAGTGTGCTTGTGAACAGCAACACAAAGAAACATATTACAAAGGACAACAGGTAGAGGGTTTTAACCTTCAACGAGCTCAAAATACCAAGTGAACACAATTACGTGCTACAATCCAATGCGCACAGGAGGCTACTGATATTTATTAGTAGTGGTCCGACACGGTTTGGCTTTGTTTAGACACAGATGGTTTTACTGGGGCTGCAGGCGTTTTCAGGGTTGTCCTTGTCTCCAGCCCCAGCACTGCTGCAAGGCCAACAGCCACTGTCTCCTCAGCGCCAGCCTGCTGTTCCTCACCCTGCAGCCCAGCCTCGGGCTCACTCCTCACATGAACCGGCCCGCTCTTCTTCATATGAAATATTCAGATTTGGTTCCCTTACTGTGTACACAGTGCCTGCATACTGCATAGCTTTTCTTTGAAAAACAAGTGCCATCATTTTTTTGTGCTAAGCCACCGCGATCACCAGCTTCAGTTCGGATGCCAGAGATTTAAATTGCACACTGTCAAGTGTGATATGAAAAACAAAAACTGAACACTGCTGGTTAAAAGAAGCTATGTAAATGCAAATAATTATTTTTCTTAGGACATACTAAGAGGCTGGTACAGTTCAATTCGGCTGTCCCACTTACAGTTGGAAATTCTGTCGTGATCTTTTCATGTTTATGTGGCCTATATATATTTGGCAGGTTTCAGTAATGAATTTGAATTCAATTTCTAGATCTCCAGGGAGGTCATATAAAAGAATCATAGTCCGCAGTTATTTCTGATGTACTGACGATGGCGACACCTCTCATGGGAACGGAAGTGTGTGTTTTACAGGTCTTTCAATGCAAACCAGCGAAGACCACTTCGGCTATTCCATGAGACAGAAGGTAACAAAAAAAACATTATGGCATTAAGAAGCTAAACCCCCCACCTTGAAGATAAAATAAAGAGAAATGGCTTAAAAAAGCTGGATTTAAAACAATCCTAACATTCTCTCGATAAAAAAAAACAATAAATAGGTTAGCATACAAGACCTAAGATGGAATTAAAGTTTCTGAATAATCCTTTTAGGTCAGTTTTTAGATATTTATATTATGCCAACTGAATAATGATATTTAATATTGGCTAGGGAGTGAAATGTCACCTCACAATAAGCAATTTCAATGAAATGTGATTAAAAACAACAAACATGTTTGACTTCTGTAAATTAAAACATGTCGCCTAAGTTCTCCTCCTCAAGGGGAAAAATGTATTAAAACAAATCAGCTTGCCGGTGGTAAGAGTGTCAAATTCTTTAAAATGTCTTATTGCTTGACTGGGGGAAAGAGGTCAGCTGGAAGAGGAGACGAAGCCTGTGCTGTAACGACCGAACAACTGCTGCACACATCCACTGCAGGCTTCTTAAAACCATCCAGCAGCGTGATCGCTCATGGCTCATTTCAATACAATAAGTGAGATTTATGCTTCTTCCACATGAACATAAAAACTGTCTAAAGTTCACAGTACACTGGTGTAATAATGTGTAATAATCCTTATTATATTTCTCCACAATGACTTGGCTTTGGCAATACCTTCGATATTATGACATTGCAAACCAAACGCCTTTAGGTCCATTTACTTTTAGTTCAGCAAAGCTGAATACTTTCAAAATATCTACCATGGAAAAAAACGTTGTTCAAAGTGTACACTGTCATTATTGTGTCGCTGTGATCTAGTAACAGATATAGAGAAGAATCCAGCTTTACTTCACTCTGTACTAGGAATAATGCTGCACATTATGAAAGGAAACATGTTTTTAAAAGGTGAATGTTAGTGGGCCGGTGTGTGAACAAACATTTGTAGCTCAATGTTAAAAGAGAACAATGGGAACTCTGAGATACTGTAATTATCTCCACAGTACCACCCTTTAACGTCTAGGTTAAAAAAAATATACCATGAATAAAATACTTAATTCCCTAAAAAGCACAAAAGGTTAAGATATTCCCCCTAATCAACCTTCTGTCACACAACTGAGGAACAAACAGGAAGATGGTTCAATGACATTTTTCCATGTGGGATTATGGATTATACATATGCAGAAGAGAATACAGAGAAGATGTGCTTCAGCACCAAGACACATTACTACCCTATTCGAGGAGGATCTAAATGAATGAGTCTGTGGTCTTGAGGAATTAGGTTACGGCACTTAACTTGTCATACAAATGTGAGACGTTCAAATGAGAATCTGAAGTCAAGATGAAGCTTGACTTTCAGTTTAAAAAAATGAGGTCAAATAATATAAAAACACAAGTCCCCAGGCATCCACTTACAACATTACTTCAGAAGTAAATACACACACAGCAACAACAGACAAACAGTAATCTTACATAATCTAAAAAAATTCACAACAGCTCGATCTGCTGTTGAGACAATTTTAATTGTTCATAGATTTAACCCAGCATTGCATTACTCATGTTTAGTGTACAACATAAAAAATATTTTTATATGCTGCAAATACGTCATACAACTAAAAATGTTGTTTCATTAGCAGAAAATACTTCCCTTAGAAATCAGAAGGTTTCTCATTTTTTCTGTGGCATTTCTTTTGTTTAACAATTAAAAACATGTAAAATGCAGCCACGTTTTATATATATTAAAAAAATTAATTAATGAATAATCCTTTTATGGACACTCCACTCAAAGCGCTTTACAGGTAATGGGGATCCCCTCCACCACCACAAGTGTGTAGCCCCGCCTGTATGATGCGATGGCAGCCATAGTGTGCTCAGTACACTCACCACACACCAGTTCTCAGTGGGGAGGAGAACAGAGTGATAAAGCCAGTTCATAGAGGGGGATTATTAGGAGGCCATGATTGGTATAGGCCAATGGGAAATTTGGCCATGATAAATTCGAGTCACATTTTACTGTAATGATACCAAAGACATTTTTAAGTGTCTAATAACTGTATAATTGTTACACAACAAAACTGGACAACAAAGTAAAACAAAGAAATACTAAACAATCTCAATTTATTGTCATTGTATACCACTGGGCCAAAGCTAATGCTACTGTGCATGAGATGAAACAGATTTCTAGGAGGCTGCGTCACATGTACTCCCATATGATTGAAACTATACAACTTCAGATATTTAGATAAGACTCCGGACTAACAAGAACTGCTTTTTTTAGATAAGTGGGGTCAGAACGGAGCATTTCGTTTCTAAAATAGAGTATCTGCCACCTGCAAATATAAGTGAGGAAAATACATCTGTTTCTTTTTTATTGCTTTATATTGTTAACAATATTCCAGCAGTTTGCTAAAAATGTGATATGTCCGGCTACGAAATGGCGCAATAAGGTTTACTGTTATCACAAAAAAGAATAAATAGCCTTAGCACTGTTTCAGATTATAAAAAAGTAAACACTACTTTACACTTGTCAGAGCGTATTACCACAGTCATAGGGACAGAAGACTTTAAGACGATGCAAGATCAACTTATGAACAAAAGATTCAACCTGAGTGTGCTGCAGTATTTATGCATGTGCATTAACAGACCTGTTGTAGTTCTGTAGAGAGTGTCAGCTCTGTGGACAGAGTGGCAAGAGCTTAGCTTCTATCTTTCCCTGAGCGCCAGCAGGCCGCTACATATTTACAAGTGCACAGATATGGCAGTCTAGACCT